TATATTTATACATTATATGTATTTATAATAATAATACATAGTACATATGTACATTCATATATACCTATTACAAAACGAATAAACCGAAGAGCAATAGGGCATGCATTATCATGGGCCTGATTATTTCAATGTGTAAACTGGGCCGAGTTATGCGATTTGTAACTCGAAGCTTTTGTTTATTCACAAATTGCTTTGGGCTTTTTTCGTTATTTTTAGCCGACGTCAATTGAAATCATTCATTTTCAATTCGACATATTATTTTAATTTTTTTCTTATTGTTATTATTTGTTATCTATATTATTCTACTTAATTTGAGCGCAATTGTGAGTGATAACACAAGAGTCGATTATATTTTCTCCATAATTAATCACTCGTAATAGGGGTGTTCATTTGCAGAAAGTTGTGCAAAAAGCTCTCAATTCTTTGCATAAGCCTTTCAATTATAGACAGCCGTTTAAGGCTTTATATATGGTCCTGTAAACAGTAAAGTTGTTTATACATTTGCTTGCCACTCTACTTTGTAGCTATACATGCATACATGCATATGTTCCTCTTATTATTCATTTTATCAACATATGTAGAGGGTGATTTTTACGAGCTATAGGTAAGTTTTTCTTAAAAAAAAAAAAAAAACACATAAAATTCAGAAAAATTCATGAAATCTTTATTTGAGTCGCTGGTGCGGTCCATATAATTTAATGTTTGAAGATTATTTCATGCAAATGTTGACCGTTACCACGCCTCAAATGGTCCATCCGTTTAGTCCAATTTCGGCACACTCTTTCCAATATTTCGGCCGTTATCTCACAAATAAATGCTTCAATGTTATCCTCCAATATAGACATAAGATTCAGCTTAGCACCAAAAAAAGTAGTCTGAAAGCGATAAATCCCACGATCTAAGCGGTCAATTGACCGATACCGAACGTGAGATAAAATGTTCACCGAACTCGCCTCTCAATAAGTGCATTGTTACGGTGCAATGTGGCATGTGGCACCGTCTTGCTAAAACCACATGTCATGCAAGTCAAACTCCTGCATTTCGGGCAAAAAAAAGTTTGATATCATCTCACGGTAGCGCTCACCATTCATAGTTATGTTACGATTCGTATCATCTTTAAAGAAGTACGGTCCAATGAATCCACCAGCCCATAAACCGCACCAAACTATGACTTTTTCTGGATGCATTGGTAGCTCTTGCAATGCTTCTGGCTGATCTTCACTCCAAAATTGACAACTCTTTCTTAACAGGGCACGCATTTTGATAATAAAAGTCAATATTTTGCAAGCGTTGTTCGTTAAATTATAGACCAAACTGAAGATGTTGGAATGTGATACAAAACACGAAACGGGCAAAAGCTGTTTAAACCAGTGTTGCCAAAAATATAATAGCTAAAAAAAAAACCACCCTTTATATGTAATGTTTTGTTGGACTTTTCACATTTTCATGTGGCATAACAAATGCAAAGGAAATATAATTTTTTACACTTAACGGTTTCTCATATGCTACGGCGAATTCATTGCTTGAGCATATTGTGAACTAGATAGATAGACTGCGGCAGACATACTCGGGCTTGGAAGTTGCAATTGCAGTGGTGCCGACCCTCCGAGCAAGTGAAACCAAATATGTACGGGTGCAGCAAACAAGTAGATCTCAACATCTCGCATAGCATACATACATATGTATGTGTGCACGAATGTATATCAGATAAAATTCACATTATTGCATATTTATATATGAATAAATACACATCGGACTTGTTTTCTCAACAGCATTATGTTGTAAATTTATACTCGACTTGCTTTTGTTCTGCAAAATATTGATTGAATAGAAGCAATTAATTGTTAAGATATGTTAATGATGTATATAAAAGTGTACACGTGGACATGCGTTTGTGTGTAAAAACAATTCTATACAGTTTTGAATTTTATATTCACACCGAAACACAACATACAAGTAAATAGATATGTCGAATTGAAATTATTTTATAAAATCCGATTAAAACCGAAATTTGCGTATATTCGAATTGGGTGAGCAAAATGGGATTTAAGTATTAATTTAATTATTTTTTCAATAATCTTAAGGTTAACTTGATAATCTTCAATATTGCATATCCAATTTCCCACAACAGTGTTCTCACGATAGTATAATAAACCGTCAATAATAATAAATCAGGCAGTGGCAATCACACCTTTCTGCACTTAATCGTAAAAGGCGTTTAATAACACTTCCGTTATGTTATTAGGTTTAGGGATTTGCATATTGTGAGATACTCACAGATGCACCTGGTAATATGATAAAGCTTTATTGCATCGTAAATTGACAACGAGCGACGGGGCAGCTGTCAGTCGGCCGATTCTAATAGAAACTATTTAAAAGCTAATAACTCACTTTAGTCAAACCGGTTTAATTATCAGCAACATTAGTCAACAGATATCTAATAAATACTAAAATTATTTTCCCAGCTGAAGTGGGTCCTTCGAACTATCAGTTAAATTGGTAGACTCATTCAAAAAATTCTCGCCCCCTTGCTATCCCTTTATTCATGTTATGAATACTATTTTTAAAGGATCAATTTTGAGCGTATATTTTTCATCAATTTCAAGCAACTCGTTCAAATTTCAGCTGCATTCATTTAGTCAGCTGGTAAAATCTATAAATATTTGCATTTAATGAGTAATAAATTTCTGCCATTAGGCAGCTGTGCTCTGTTTCTCAAACAGTTTGTGCTGTGATTAGTTCATGCATATTGGAAATAATTAGACGCCTTGTGCGAAAAGATAAGACAAATATGTATTTTATGTTTATGCGGTTGAAATCAAATAGAGAGGTGTAGGATGTGGGCAAGATGTGAGGAAGCTGACTAATTAATGTTAAATTATTGTAATTATGGATAAACTACATGTACGAAATTCAATTAGTAAGTTTGTATATTGTTCTGTGCGCTAAATTTAATCTATTACTCTTAATTGTTTCAGCACAGTCGGGTCTTTATATCGGTACATTCAATTTCAAGAGCAGTCTGTTGGTAACAAGAAAATGTCCATAAAATGTTCTTGAAATCACTTTTCTTTACAATAATTTATGAAAAGCCTTCTCTGAAAAGACTCAAATTCAAGAGGAAGAAATTTCGCAAATCCAGAATGCAAATTGTCGATACAAATAATAAGTCACACACTGCAATTTTTATTTCTGAAATTATAGGAAATTAAATTACTGAAATTTGTCCCTGCTTCTTAGTATTTTTGGAAAATTTAATTTTTTTCAATCTGGTAATTTATTCCATTTATAATTTGTGAAAAGGAAGTGATTTATGTAAAATTTTGCAACTTTGCAAAAAATGATTGACTAGGATTTCTTTTTGAATGAAATCCAAGCACATTCAGCAAGGGAAATACAAAGGACTACTGTAATGCTCGAAAACTTTATTTGCTACAATAAATAACAAATACCAAGAGTTCTAACACAAAAAAGTAAATATATATTTTTTCATGGCTGAAGCTAATATTAGAAACTATACGTATTTATTTCTTTAATAATATAGTATGTATGTATGAAAATACATAAGTTTGTATGTAAGTGTACATACGAATTTGTACGTTCATTACAATTGGTTATAAAAAAAGCTGCAGAAGCTGGCTCTAACCCAAGTGATTTGCTGCGTATTACAGTTATGTATATATATAATGTACATATGTAACAGGTGTATAATGGTATTTGCTTTGGTTATACATAAATATATATATATTTTTCTATGTATTCCGTTATAAGCTTGTCAATTAACTGTTCCAAATCGAGTGTTATGAATATATAATATTTATTTGCCATTATTGGTTAGCACAACAAAAAGAATATTTGCCCATTACGATTTCACTTCACTCTTTGTTGTCATGAATCAATGAACAGGATTCCAATGTATCGCTTTGTTATTAGAAAAATTAGTGACTTGGTGAGTTCAAAATAAAAAAGTAAATCCCATTTCTTATAAACAAGATTGTTTGTAAGTTGAAAATATATACATATATAGTATAGATAAACGGGGAATTTGCATAATTTTCCTCATCGATAAATACATAGTTTTGTGAATGTGAAGTGGCAATAAATAGCAACGACATTCGTCTTTCCTGCTTTTTCAACAATTTTTCTGTGACCAGGAATAAACCGTTTTGTTTCGCAATGTCCACAAGATATCTGCCATAGTTCTAGACTTATATCAGTGACAAAAAGTCAGGCCGTTTGCCCAAAGTAGGAACACAGCTGTCTCGTCTGCTTGATCCTAATTCTTGAGCATTCCTCATATTAACGTTGGTTTTGCATATATTATCGACTTATATCAAAATTCTATAATCTACATATGTACATTTATTATAGTTTAACGTTTTTTGATTTTTTTTTTCCAAATAATTATTAAGATGAGCAACTAAACTATATAAAAATCAAAAATAATTAACAAGTATTGAAAAAATAGCCCATAAAAATATTGAGCTCAAATAGCTGCAGCAGAGGAACTTGCAAATAATTATAATAATATTTTGTAACTCTTAAGTTATCCTAGACAAATGTATGTGCATAATTTTTTCAGAAAACGTATTTCGAAAATCACAAATTTAGACATATAACTTGTTTTGGGACCTAAATAGTGGCTTTTATATACGAAAATATTTTGTAACATACATATATATGTTTAAAGAAATGCCTACGCTGCTAATTTCATATTGTCCAAAAAAATTTGTTAACGTATTTTCAAAATAAGCCTCACAGATATTGAAAAATCTTTGCTATAATAATTCCAAAGAGTGCGTATCGAAAAGAAAATAATAATAAAATGACAAAGACCAGAGGCAAAGCGAATGGAGTGGGACAAAATTGAATAAAGAAAAAAATATATGCATTTTATTAGCTACAGAAATTCACGTTAATCAAATGATCTAACCCTTTTCTTTTTGTTATCTGAAGTGTATGTATTCATACAAGCACATATTTGTACTGTATCTACTCACCTAACATTGGCGTAATGATGGCCCGAACCGGTGCCAGTACTCCAGTCGACATGTTCGATTTCTGAGGATGTTTTCGTGTTGTCACAATGCATAATTGTTGCTTAAATTAAATTAGCTCACTGCTTAGATCTCTCATTAATATACTCTTTTATATATTTATATGTATATATATATGTATGTTTACGTGTTAAAGTACTTCGTATAGATACAAATGCTGGCGTTTACGACACTATGCACTCTCTACATACAATCACATTGAACTATTTATTAGTTGCTTGTCTGGGGTGTTTTATCGTGGCATACGGTGTTTTTCTTATTATTCACAACAAAAATGTTTTCCCGCTGTGTTCGAAGATTAGCTTAATAAATTAGTTAGTTTTCGTATCAAACCTGTTATCAAATTGTAAAACCAAACTTTAGGTATGACGGTGCGACAGCGACATTTATTAAAAAATTAAAATGAAAAGGAAGGCAGCACGACACCAGGGCTGCAGAAATGTAAACCGTCGCTGCCTTCAATTTATAGTTAATTCTAATATGGTGGGCAAGAAGGAAGATTTCTTTGGAAAGTTCTTTGAGTAAAAAATGTTTTGTGGCAAACACAATAGTTTGAATGACAATCGCTGCAGCCCTCAAAACGTTTGCCTTTACGGGCAACTTTCGCAGAAAAGAAAGCGTCGTTGTCATCCTGTAGCTTTAAGGTGTATTTAAAAAGGAGCCGGATGAATGTTGAAATGTGAGGAAAATGAATTGAAGAACATAACAAAAGTACTTAAATGTCATGCACATAGCATAAAAGAATATTTTTTTTCTTCGCCATTTCCGAATTTCGAAGATTCGTACTGCTGCAGAGAAATAATTTAGGTATGTTGTTTATTATACAAATATATATATATATATATTTATCTTTGTTTTGTTGTTTCGCTGTAAAGCAGAAAAGAAATGCGTTGTTACCAGCAAATATGTGGCATGGGGCCAAACAAAAAAAACTACTTCCAAAGTATGTGAAGGCTAAAAATTTTACATTTCGTTTTCTCTTGTACATATTCACAGCAAAATGATATACCTGCGACTACCAGAAAACAAAGAAACGGCACTGTAATTATTTTCAGTTAATTCAATCAGATGGTATATATAATTTATTTAATAAACAAATTATTATATTGGCACACAAAATATCACATACATGCAAACACATATTTTTTTCGTTCTGGAGAATTTTAATATTTTCAATGCATTTTATATTTATTATGCACTTCATTGATTTTAGCTTCCTTTACGTGGGCATACTTCATATTTTCAATGACTCAGATGATGAGCTGAGGTGTGTTATCCACTTTTTAAAATTATAAATCACTCATTAAACAAGCCCCAAACTGCGCTGCACTTTTTATTTTCGCACCTACATATCAATCCGTCGCTTTTTTATTTGTAAGACCGATTTTTGTTCGCTAAAAAATATTTTGTATTTTACATAAACACTCCTCCCTGAAGAGCTAAGAAAAAACCGAACGAACGAGGAGAACAGCGGCGAATGCCAGAATACAAGACAAACAATAAATAATCGTTTTGTTCAGCTTTCCAGATTCGGAAAAAGGGAAAAGTGTTGAAAAATACATCACTGGAAATTGATTGGAACGAAACAGTGTTGGGTTTTAAGTTCTGAAACTTAGCCACGAATCTACATCGCGAAATTTGACCAAAGAACGTATATGAGTTCATATACTTTCTTTTGTGGACTCGCTATCCCTAAAACGTTTTGTTAACGAGTTTTACGCTTCGTTGAAGAAAGTAAACATATATCACTTCTGAGCAAAATTACCTTTCCATTCAATTACAAATAATATTAAGCTGGTAATCTTACTTTTGGCATTGGAAAGCGAAAACAATTATGAGGCACTTAGCAACCCTGATCAACTAAACTGTCTGTTCCTGCCGGATTGTTTTAAATAAACTTTTCGTAATTAGTGAATTTAATTTCTTAATCTGTTTGTATTGTTTAGTAAAAATATGTCTACAGCTCAAAGCACTAAAAATTGCATCACACTGCGTGGTTCAGCTCAAATAATAGTAGAATATTTGAGTAAGTTTAGCAGTCAATTAGACAAATTAACTATATCGGTGGCGCCAAATCAAATGTATTGTTCCAAAAACAAAGTCCTTAAACGGTATTGCTTTTTCTTTCAGAATATGGTATTAATTCAATATTATTTCAACGAGGGATTTATCCACCCGAAACCTTTGAGAATACCCAACAATACGGCATAACCATATTGATGTCAAAAGATAAAAAGATTGAAGAATTTCTGGCAAATGTGTTGCAGCAAACTGAAGGTGGAGATGTGATACTGCGTCATAAGAACAATAAGACATTACTCTTTTATTTTATTTTAGAATGGCTTGCTAAAAATATGATAGAGAAAATATCTATGGTAATTACAAATGCACATACAAAAGAGGTTTTAGAGTGCTGGGACTTTAAAATGCAGGCCGAATTGGGGGATGGCGAAACCACTGATTCTACTAAACTCACGTCCAGTAAAGAATTAAAACGAATACAAAGCGAAATTCGAGATGTTATGCGGCAGATATCGGCTACAGTTAGTTATTTGCCGTTACTAGATTGTATTTGCACCTTCGATGTGATGTTGTATACATTACAAAATTGCGAGATTCCTGAAAAGTGGGATGAAACCGGAGCTGTGTTTATTCAGAATGCGCAAGCCGTACAATTACGATCTTTCTCCACCGGTTTGCATAAAGTTGATACTGTAGTTAATTACAAGATGGCCTCGTAAAAGCTTCTCGAAGTTATTATCAATTATTTTAAATATATGGGACTTTACAATTTTAAAGACTTGTAATTTGTATGTATTTTCTCTGTAAGCAGTAATACTTTTTTCAAATAAAATTTCATATTAATAAATAATGCAATAAATTACTAACAAGTAGAAGTCAGATAGCAATTTATCAGGTCTAATAAGAGAGATTTTTTTTGCCGAGTGTTTTTTCTTTATTTTTTATTTTGATGAATAACCAAATTAAGACATCCTTAACTCTACAATATCGAAAATATTTTCTTTTCGGCCTGGTTGTCATAATGTGTTAAATTGATTTTTATAAAAGTAGAGCCCGCAATTATATGATATAAACCAAAACTTTTTTAAATAAGTTTTAAGTTTCTTTTCAGGTTTATAAAATACATAAAACAGTCTGAGCAGACCCAATACCGATTTTTTAAAATTTACAATTTAAAACTAAAATAGTAAACAAAAACACATGCAATATTTAATGCCTAATCAGTGCCAAAATATTTTTGTCCAAAATGATTAGGTGCAACAGGATGCAGCTCGGAAGTAAGAATTTTAAGTTTTGGAAAAGCACCAACTACAGTCTTAGCAGCGACCGGTGTGCAGAAAAGATTCGATAATATTATGCAACTTTCGGGGACACCGTGCTCTTTTAGTACATTTACTGCCTAAAAATATAATTAAAGGCAAATTTAAAAAATATTATTTGTTTTTTAGATTATTTTATTACTTACCTGCAAAACTGTATTACCAGTGGACATAATGGGATACATAAGCAGCACTTGACGGCTAGCAATGTCATCAGGAAACCTTGCATAAACCACACGAGCTTCATGAGTATCCGCATCAGATTCTACTAATATTTTTCCAATGCGTATTGAACGACAGCAGTCACGTAGTCCTTGTTCCATTGCTTCACCAGACCGTATAATGGAGACACCACAGTTTCCAGCACGATATTTGAGCCCATCGTACGTCGCACCTGTGGGTGTTTCCACCCGACAATCGGAATACGGAAGCTGGTTAAGGGACTCTTCGATGACCAAACGTATGAGGCGATCAGCGTAAAATTTGAAGTCACTACGTGTTGTGTTTCTGTATGGAAAAAAAACAATATGTAAGATTTTTTACTAAAAAAAACCGTTAATTAGCTGTTACTTATCACGTATGATGGTTAATAGTTCTGCTACTTGTGAATTACAATCCAAAAGTTTTAAATTAGGTCCATATTCTTCAAGTATTTCGGAAGCTTTAAGTGATGCTACCATTACCGGCCCACTGCTTGGCACAGCTGTTATGCTGCCACTGTTGGTTTCGCCATTACTATTGCTGTCGCTGTTCTCACTATGTTGATTCTGGGAAGCGTGAATTGCTGATTCCGCACCTGCCATTTTATTATTGCACAGGATGGTTTATGAATCTGGCTATAAAAATAGGTGTTTTAAACAACTCCAGCTAAATCACTATTTATACTACTTTCACCTTCACTGCTTAATATTTAATCAGCTGTTTCGGAAAGAGCATATGTGATTTATCGATAAGTTCATGACTTGGTTAGGTCTGACTTATATTAGAAGAGTTCAGTTCTATTCAAAACATGTGAAGGAACGCCAATCATTAAAATAACATGCAAAATTTATAACGTAATGAATCATACGTCTTAATTTTTAAACTTTATTCTTATATTTATAAGAATTTAGAGGTATATGGAAATGTGTGTCATTTCATGAAGTGTCAAAATTAGTATTTCTGCAAACTTTTTTGATATCACCTTGTGTGAATTCGCCATGCTTTGCCACAAACATTCCTATTTCTAAATTCGTCTTGAAGTAGTTCGATAAGCCTGTCAGCTGATACGTATTGTTGTGAATGCCGGTGTCAACTCAATTATTTTCGCCAAATCCACAAAGTAAAAAGTATTTAGTGTTGAGCTCATATCCAAATGCCTCTACGCTTCCAAGCAGTAATGAAGTAAGTTAAATACCATCCTTTCGCCATAATTTGAATGTTGTAAAGGTCATTAACATTAAAATGAGCTATAAGAGAGCAGCTGGAGTGTCCACCAATCCGAGCATTTTAATGCTGAATGATGATTGTTTATTGGAAATTTTCAACCATCTTGAGTTGCACGATCAGCTGCGTTTGGCCACTATCTGCCCACGCTTGCGAAACGTATATCAATATTACTGCCAGAGGCATTGTAAATGTTTGTTAGCGGATGATATCAATGACCTGAGCACAAAAGAGATCAGACGATTCTTCGAAATTGCTGGTGAATCCTTAGTCACACTAATTAATATGCCGCATACCGATCAGGAGCGAAACGAATATGTCACTCAAGTACATAAGAATTGTCCAAATATTCGTCGCATACATTTTGGAATGACGAAAATTAAGTCAAAATGTTTACGCAAACTTTTCTTAAATATGAAATATTTAACTTGCTTACATTTACAAAAGTGTTCATTAAATGACAATGCAATGCAAAGTGTATCGGAGTTGACCACGTTACAGGTTTTGAAATTGGAAGGAGAAGAAGACATAACAGGTGAGTCAAGGAGTTCTGACAGTTTATTGAAATAATTACAACGTTTTAAAACAAATATTGCTATTTAGGTCGCTTTTTAAGTAAGCTTATCAACCTCAAGGAACTAGCGCTCGTTGAATGTGGAATAATAGATGATTACTTTGTTGCGATGTGCAAATCGCTTAGAGATCTCCAAAAGCTTACGCTGCAGTGGTGTGATGAACTCACTGATGTAGCTATTGCAGCGTTGTCAGAGCATTGTGTAAACATAGAAACACTCAATATATCATGCAATCAAAGCTATGAATATTACGCAATAGCCCAACTGCCGAAACTAGTTAACTTAGAAATATCCGCTGAAATGTTTAGAACACAATCATTTAATTTACTCCTAAACCGACTAGCCGAATGCAAAGGAGAACAACTGGAATGTTTGCGAATATATTCACCACGCCTAATTGTTGATGACGGTATGAGCTCCTTGTCACGATTTAAAAATTTGAAATTATTCGGCTGCGATTGTAGTAAATACATTGATGCTGATTGCTTGCTATATATTTTCGCACTACAACATTTGGAGGTTATTAGTCTAAGATACTGTCGCTCGGTAACAAATGAAGCTGTGCTCATGTTATTGGATGGCTGTCCAAAACTGAAGTATATAAATTTAATGCACTGTGATCAACTAACAGATGAGTTAGTTTACAAAACTATAGATTTGCTGCAGGCAAAGCAAAGTCAACGGCAAGGTGTACGTGATAACAAGCCAGTGCTGATGATGGTTGCGGGCACAAAAATAGGAAGCCTTATGTCAAACGTAAGATTGCAATGTACAATATGCAATTTTCAACTGTCTAATTTCTCTTATTTTTAGGATGCTAAGTACCTGGCTGCATTGACCAGTGGCACTTTAAGATTAAGTTTCGCCAACCCCTTTCAATATGCATATGAAAACCTATACTATACATTTAACGTGCCGGCCGTTGGGGACTTAAAATATTTCTATTGATTTGAGGAGCCAGTTGTTTTGTATTTTTTATATATTTTTTTTGTTAGCTTGTAATTTGGCAGTTATTACATAATCCATATTCCTAAAAAATATCACTTATTAATTTATTGCAAATAAAAATGATCTAACGTGTAATTAGCTCTTAACTTCTTGGCGGCTTTTAGTCTTGTTAAATTGTAAGATTTATATTATAATATATGCCAGCTATGAAATAAAATTACTTATACTTATAGAGACTTAAAGTATATATCTAGGCAAAATTTATACTGTTGCTCTAAAATCGTCCTGTCAAGTACAGTTTGAAAGTTTGAATACGCTTTGGAATTATCCACCAATTTTCAGTGCAAACAATGGGCAGGCTGTACTTAAGCTTAAAGGGCGTTGAAATACTCATTTTTGTACCGTCCGTTTTTAAAATGTCATTTTCTAACTCATCTTCTTACCTGCAAATCTGCAAAATATTAAACAAATTTAATTGATAAACATTTGGTTTATATCGATTATATTCCATTTTATTCTACAATTTATATTTGATTCAGATTAAGGCCTTCCTTATTAATAAAATGTTTACTGATAAGACATTTATTTTATATTCCTTAAATGTAAAGCATTATACAAATCATACGAGTTTTAACATATTCTTCAACTAGTTATTGATTTATGCACGAGTATGTATGTAAAGGTATGTTCGTACTCGAAATTTTGCTCATTATTTCAATTCATGTATGTATTTAAATGCAAACCGTACTCGGAAAAAATAAAATTGGAACCGAAGTTCTCTTTTAACCAATCAACTTTATTTGAGAAAAGGCAAACCATAAAAAATGCTAAACTATTTTATAATTAGTGAAAGTAATGTGTTTTATTTATCTAAATTTAATTGCATTTTTAAGTTCCGTTTTCTTTTCCAGTTATTGCCCGCTGCACATTGTTTCATTTATTGTATTTTTAAAACAAAAGCGTGAGTTATCCTTTAACAACTATTTAACAAATTAAAATAAAACAAATTTTATTATACATATGTAAGCATTTGTAAAAAATTTGTCGGTAATATATGTACGATTGTGTAAGCTTCAGCGAATGTAATCTTCTTTGTTAGTGAATTTTTGAATAGCTTACGACTTTCGTGTTTACGTTTATTTTTGTATTTTTTTTTGCTGTTATTTATGGGTGGCTTTGTAAAGTTTTCAAAATTAAATAAATAAAACTATTGTTTTAGTGTATTATACTATACAACTGTGTTTTAACTTTTCTCCCTCTCTTTGATTTACACAAACTCAAAACTTAAGCTATATCGAAGGGAAATTATTAAACATTAATATTTTTTTATTGTTTTGTTTTAAACTAAAACATTTTGGCACTGTAAAGAAAATAGTTAAGTAAACTATATTGAAACTATGTTTATTAAAATTTTGCACGTCATCATTCGAGCGGTGTTTGCATTGGTTGATATCCTCAGAATACTGGCACGAGATTGCTTTGAAACAGTGGTGGTGCAACAACGAAAGGTGAACGATCGGCATGTGTAAGTAAGAATACTTGGTAAGAAATAAACTGAAATTTTTTCATAACAGTTCCGCACAATCGCCTAATAATTGCTTCAGCAAAAACAAAAAAAAAAAAAACTTAAATAATCAAAGCAAGAAAGCAGAAGGAGAAGTCATTATTTTCAAAAAGCCTAAAGCCCGCCATTACAATTTTCAGTACTAGTTAATAAGATATCCATATTTTATTGTATATAAATAAGTAAATTGTACCACAATTTACCCTTTATTTTTTCTGACAATTCTCCAAAACAATTGTATGTTGTTGCTGTAGCAGTATCCAAACAGACGGTTCATAACACCATGTTGTTGCGCTAAAGTTATATTTGTGAGGGATATTTAATTAATATTTTCTAACGATTTTTTGGTAAAGCAATCCCAGTTGAGACCATCTCTGTACTTTGGGGCAGTTTGCTGGCTTGAAAATTGTAACTTAAATTTTGAATTTATTTCGAAATTCTCGTGCTCCGTTTCATGTTCTATGTTCTATAGGAAATAACTTTGATGCCACCGTAAGAACAAGACTCTGAGATATTTATCCGGAGCTATCAATAGGTGCATGCTGCTTGACATAATTACGGTTCTTTTTTATGAGAATCCTCTCAACATGTGAGTTAGCTTATCGTCTCTAGTTTAGTCAGAGTTTCGAAAAATCTTCGGAATGCCTCAACCAAGGTTACCTTATTAAAATCATAGAACTATAAATATTGGATTTGGGAGGGATTTCTAAAAGACAATAGCAACAAACATTTCGTTCTATTTTTCATTTATAATATCTGGAGGATTTCTGGTTTTATTAGTTGTATTTGTGCGTCGTTCCATCAACCATGCACTCATTGTACACCTTTATTCACTGAAGCCGCCGAATTCACTGATCTAAGCTCTTTTCTTCGAATATAAACTGCCTCCTTTGTCCATCCGCTGCTACACCATACCATAATCGGTACGCACCGGAGTTGGCTGATTATTCTGTTGCTTCTCTTTATTCGCCGCCGCAGCAGCTGCCATATTCAGTTCCACCAGCGTGTCGATACTATTCAGACTGACACCTTGCAGTATCTTCTGCGCCGCCAATGAGGTAAAATTAAATGATAAATCCGTTAGGCTGGGAAAATTGTAGAGGTCGTCATTAGCAGCGGTCGTAGCCGTAACCGAGCCTCCACTGCTACTCTCACCGTGAGGGTCTTTCGATAAGCTAAAGCGACGGTCGAGTCCCTCTTTTTCTACGGACTTATCATTCGAATTCGTGCAGTTATTATCCTTTAAAGCTAAATTTGGTTCACTGCCGACAGTGATGATATTTTTCTGCAATATATGCGCCAGATCGTCTCCGTTGATGGCTGGATTGGAGTTGAGAATGTTACCGGACTTTTGCAGGTTACCGGAAGATTCATAACGATTTAGATTCTTCAAATCGCAAGTGGAGTTCATCAGTTTCGCTTGTGTTGCATCTTTCGTGTTCTTCTCATAGAATCGCAGGTTACCTATAGAGCCGGCGATCTCGAAATCTTGTTTAGCCGCCAAAGCCGCCATTGCAAGTGTCTTTTCGCCGCTAGGTGAGTTCGGGTTGGACTCGTTTTTGAGCACATTGTTTTTGTAGACAATATTGCTGGAGCCGTGCTGTGGTAGTTGGAGGCACAACTTACGGCTGTTGTTCATGGTAGCATCGTTGTTGATATTTTTGGTGAATTTGGAGTTGTCTATCACCTCCGTCGAGCTGAGCGTGTCTTGGTTGTCGGGCGATGTCTCGCTAATAAAGGAGATTGAATCGCATGTTTCCGAGTTCGCTTCGTTCTCACTGATCGAGTTGTCTTTGTCTTTGTAAATGTGTTGTATATTTATTGGCTGCTGCTGATGTTGTTGCTGTTGTGGATCTATTGATTTGTGGCGCGTTGGCGTATGCGTTGGTGCATAATAACGTTTTTGTTGCTCACCATGTTGCTGTTGTTGTTGACTCCTTAATGGCGTCGTTTCTTGTTTGGATAATGTTTTCTTAATGACCTCACCTTTCTCATTTGTTGTGGTCTCATTGTTGATAATGTACACGTTCGAGTTATCCGTAAGCTTTCCGTTCTCCAGCGTTATGACGCTACGCGCTGGAGAGTTCTGCACAAATATCTTAGTACTCGGTATACTGCTCTGACTACCATTCGAGGTGGTCACTTGCAGAGTGATCGAGTTGTTTGAATTGGAGTTGGGTATGCCATTGAAGTAGGTTTGTCCGCCGGTATTGCTTGACAATTTGCCCCCATTCGTCGTTTGCTGATTGGTGATCTCCTCGAGGATGCGCGAAGGTGTGGAGGAGCGCTGCCGCTGCGATTGCTCAGCAGCCCGTGCGCGCATGGCTTGATGACGTGGTGTACTACGCGGCGAACCATTTAAAACAAGTATAGACCGAGCGGGACTCTGCTGAACCACTGCCGTATTGGTCGAACATTGCGAGTCAAGACTAGAATGACCACTGGTTTTGCTGAATGACACCTTGCCGCTGTCGATACTCGACGGTCCCGAGGTAAGCATGGAAGAAGCTTTGCCCGACTCCAAGCTCGACGGACCGCTTTGCACGCTGCGATAACTAACTTTACCGGCATCCAAGTTGTTGGTATAACCGTTTAAAATAATATTATCCGCTTGTCGTTTTGTCGTGGACGTCTTTAGTGTGCCTGCGGTACGTGAAGGCGACTGCTCGAAAATGTGTTTGCCAATAACACTCTTTGAGGAAGATTTCTGCGCGTTCCCTGTCGCTATGGCGGCCATAGCGGATGCCGTCGTTGTATGATTTGGTGCTGAAAGACGAGAGAGTGTTGTGGAAGAGCGATTACTGTTATTCGCTGGCGTAGGTGCAGTGGTGATACTAGTTGTACCATTTGCTGTCGCGGGAATGGATTGCGTTGACCGGGGCAGCGAGCTGCTGCAGTAGACCGGTGAGCGGCGGCGTATGGGCGAACAGTCCCGTGACGATATTAGGAAGGTAGAGTCGCTGGACATGTTTCGTCGATGTCGGCGTGGCAGTGTAAGTGAACGTTGGCTTAATTCTGAGCCATCGTAGAACGTGGAATTGGAAAGCGTATGTACCACCGGCATGTCCTGCATAAAATTCAATATAAAATAGTTAGAGTAAGTTAAAGAAGTAATAAATGAGAAAGGATTGTGGCTTACATGATCGGCTGTTTGTGTGCCAACACTGTGTAAATGCACCGCCCGAGAATTGAACCACTCTGCCGGCGGGAACTGAGCTGAGTATGTCTCAATTTGACGTTGCTTGGAGCGTCCACTACGGCGAAAGAGACGAGACAGCAAAGATCCTTTTTCTGGAAGTAAAAACCAATATCATGGTCTGAGCAAGTTTGCAAGTATCGAAATTGAGCACTTAGGCTCTGCATTTTATAAATTATCCGATTTCACTTACTTGGTGACGAAGAATCTGTGCTTTGGTACTCCGAGCTACTGCTATCTGTGGCTAAAGTTTGTGCATATGTCTTGGAGAGACTTCGCGTCGACGCGCAGCGCTGCAGCCGCTTCGAGGAGCCAAACAGACGCAAACTATGCCTCCTCTCAAGGCTGCGAGGCGTTGGGAACGAGGCGCTACGTCGTTTCGCGGCGCGTGGATAAAGTATTTTATCATTTGGATTACCTGTTAAAAAATTAAAGGTATGAAATATGTTTTCCAAGATCAAATTGGGTCAGTGCCTTACCACCGCATATAACATCGGCCAAGTTGGTTTGTATACATTGATGTGTTAGATCACCATCCCGTTCTGTGGAGATTTCACCATACAATGAATGAACCGCTTCCGCATTGGTCATGAGCATTGTGCGCGCTTCTTGAGGTATTTCGTCGGTTTCTTCAAAATCCTGATAACCGTTGCGCATGGGACGCGGTCGTGAACGGCTGCGTCGGCGTCTAAAGAAAATTATTTATAGTAGAAAAATTAAAAATACTTTTTAAGATTATAAAACATGTGACAAAGATCCATCGCGATCCTCCATTTACAAGTGGTTTACGCAAGCTATGCCACTTCCATCGAAGGATCCGGTTACTGTATGGCTTCCAAGATTAAATTTCATTAAAAGAAAGCATCCTCGGGTAAACGTAAGGAGAGTTACTGTACATAGGAAAGATCCGAGAGATAGAGAGCTTGTCCCCCAAGAGTAGTCTTTACATGTTAGACTTTGTGATTTTCGATGCTACATCGACTTTAAGCTGGAAACTCTAGCCGCCGGTTGCAATAACCGCTGGGAGGCTTTTATTGGTAATGAGAAAGTTGAAAGCTTCGTAGATCCTACTTAATCGCCAAAAGTTTTTTCTCGCATTAGTATCTCCACCAAAAACATCAGTTTTGCAAAGGTTTCATCCACTTACGGCTTCGACTCAATAAGAAAGTAGGCTGTGCTGAGAGATCCGTAGACTGTGTTTGCCCTCGCAGGCTCTGGTTTCTATTAAGAGAATTACTTAAAAACTAAATCCCAATGATGGATACTCACTCCGGCGTAAAGATGAAGTAACCCTTTGAGGTTTGATAGATTTTCTGTTCCTGCATCAGCTGCGCCAACGTATCATAGATCACTTCGGTGGCTGGTGGTGTCATATGCGGAAATCGTATGCTCAGCTTGATGCGCACATTTTCTATGGTAGCCGAATGGCCCTCTGAAGTGAGGTCCATAATGACATCACAGAGCGCCTCAGGTAATGGCGTAAATTGTCCTTGCACGGTCGGTGTTACGATGCAGTCATCGATGTCACCTTGAAGAAAAGAGAAACAAAATGATAATTAGTAACTGTTTATTTAAGAAAAATACCAACAATTTTGCTGATGTTGCCCATTATAATGCCACGAAATATTTAAAACGACCAAGAGAATTCAGTTCATTTGTCAAGTGCTCTAGTAAAATTTGGCTAATTGAATTGAGGTCTGCCTCTACTTAAGTCTAATACATGAGTCGACATACGTGTAGGTACATACATACATATGCACATGCTGAAAGCTCACATACTCGATAATTGTTGCCGAGCAACCATCGCTACTCTTTTGTAATAGTTGGCGCATCCATTTAGAGGTACAATTAATTTTTTAATTACGAGTTTTTCGAAAATAATACAAAAAAAAAACAAGAAAAAAACAAAATCATGCAACTGCAATCCGCTTTGATTGGATTTGCCCAAGTTTGGTGCGAATCAAATGTGAGGAGTTTTCAATTAACTTTTAGTGCATCATTGTGCTACTTGCTTCCCAGTTGAAGGTTATTCCGAATTTGTCATTGGTTGCGCTGCATTTGGGGCGCTCACAGAAACAACGTGCATTATTTTTCCATTAATTAACACTAAAAAAGACCAAAATTGTTGTAACTTATTCAATCATGTGTGTTGTCACCGCATAATGACAACCATAAACGGTGGCCTTGCACTTGGATTACGTCTTTCCCAACCATGACAAAGGGAGGTCATCTCTCGAAATTCGATTAAGAACATCCCAATGATTTTCCAATAGGTGGCCAATGAGGGATGACATGCAAGTGCAAGAAGAGAGCTCTTCCCTTCTTCATTGAAGCTATTGATCGAACCTACGGAGCGTTTATATGTTCGCGGAATGAAGGAATGAAATACCAAACTATTTTTCTTTTCATGTACGAGTGTGTGGTATGTATGTAGCTATCCTCCGAATGGGATCAGGCAAGGTGGGTGGGAAATTCTTTCATCCAATTCCAGACTATAAAACGAAGATTACTTTTGGACAGTCAAAAACGACTAGCTGTAAATGTCTGGACGCTTGCCCTATAGATCACTCCGCATCTGAACTTAGCAATGCATCTCCTGGTCTTTTATGAAAAATATGGTGTTATTTTTTACACGTCGGCCGCGATGCCACAAATTGGAGGAGAGCCCGGCGGAAGCAGTGTACACACGTCCTAAAATCTAAATACTCTAGATTACTGAGTAAGTATGACAAAAGGTACGAGTTACCTTCGAGTTTCAGAAAAAGAAATGAAAGCAAATGCAATATAATGGAATTACAGCCATCAAATACCTTTGATGTTTCTTGAATGTCCCGCATTTCGGTTACTTCGTTTGCGCTTTCTACGCTCTTCATGATTTATGAGCTTACGGTAATTTTGCACATTAAAAGTTTTTTCACTTTTCACAGCTCCAACAGAAATATTTAATAATAATAAAATCAATAAAAGTAACAGTAGCTGCAACAAAAACAAAAACAAAAACAAAAAAAAATAGAAATAAACAATAAAATCATTTGACTTCCATAAAGATAATAGCGAATTTAGCACTTGACTGCTTCACTGCATCATTGCTTGAGTACCAGCGAGCTGCCCTGCCTCCTCGGACTGATGAAATGAAAGGAATGGCAAATGAAAGGTTACGCTGAAGGTATTCACCTCCACGAAGGCGCCGATAAGTGTAATGGTCGGTGGTTGGTATTCGCTGCTTGCCCTCGTCGACCGTTGCCATTGACTCTGGTGATTGACTTCCGTTAGTAATGGGCCTATTATTATTAAAAGTTTCTTTATTTTTCGTGGGCTACACCTGCTGGGTGCATGCAAATCAACTTTGTTGCTTGCGAGTTTCCGCAGTATTTGCATTGCACTTTTGTTTGGAAAATTCATAATGAATATTACTTGCGATTTTAGTGGAAGATTGCCGCGTTTGGCAGGTTCATCCATTATTTTCAATACTTTGCTTGAATTTCGCTTCTTGGGGGGTCTGTGGATGGCTTTTCAACCGTTTTCATTTTCTCCACCTGTCTTATTCATATACATAGGCACTCGTAAGCTACAAGCGTTGAAAGTGCTCTTTGAAACCTTGAAAGCTTTTTGGACATGGGGCTCTGCTTTGTAGCCGAAACCATATCTCAAGTGCCCATTATTCCTTGAATGGCTTTTCTAAGACGCAGCCCAAGTTCTTTTGAATTAAGCTAGATTGCATAAAAAGCAAATGCAATATAAACTAAAGCAATTCTGATTTCCGCTAGGATTTCGTGCTTTCGGTAAAATATTGAAGCAGCTTCCTGGTGGAATACAAAATGAACACATTTATACCATTCAGTTCCCCTAAATGATCTTGCGGGATTTGGCATCGGCTAACTAATTCATTTTTACGAGATCTCTTTTCCTTGTCAAAGATGAGTTGAGTTGCGTTGATGCGGCTGCTGGTCAACCCCAGCACACTTAGGTCAATAGACCCATTGTCAAAGATAGCTTCATTTATTTTTTTTTTTTTGAATTTGTTAGCAATGTTGGTTCGGCTTGAAGTTAAATATGGGCTGCTCGTCTTTAGCTGTGCGGTCCTAATGAGTATCCCCATTTCCATATAGAACAGTGTGATAACAAAAAGTATGTATGTATGTATATTTGAATGCATATTTCCGCCTTTGTGTTGTCAGGCGCGTATGCCCAAGCCTTACCTGTCGCGTGGCAAGTATTATTATATTTTTCTCATCATCGCTGAGATGTTTATGAGGATAGCAGCAGTGTGTGGCCTACAGATTGTGGATCGTGTGATCAAAACGTTTAATCGTGCCTAAAGTCAACAGTCAACATCGAACAGCTGGCGGGCGACAGGTGTCAGTTGTGGGCGTTCCTTTAACTACATACACACTCCTTTCATATGAAGTATGTATATATGTAAGCATGTATGTGCATGTAATTACATAAATATGGTAATTATTATGTAAACGTCTGATGTTGATATTATATTTTTATTTTATAAGGAAGTCTCAAAGTGTTTTTTGCTCAATAAGATAGTCTTGTAGAAACCAGTTGGAAAATCCGCAATACGTTACATTGCTACGTTTGATCACATGATCGCAATGTAAGCGAGGTGGGGATGTGAACTACTCCGAAGCAAGTGCAACGCTTTTATTGAAAGTTGCAGAGGTCATATATCACTCTGGGCTCACTTCATTACCGTTTCAAAGTGGGCAGTTACTCAAACATTTTCTTTTGTAAGAAAAGGAACCACTTCATTCCAGAGGTGACCATGCGGTATGGGGGCTAAGGCAGCCAAACGTTTCTTTTCCTTTTCCCATTTTTTTCGGACACCTGCTCGGCGAAAATTCACCATATGGACACTCCGATACAAAAACGTACCAAGTCTCCTCGGGAGTCATATCAATGGAGCCGAAAGGTTTACTTGGACCACTCTTTCTGGATCCGTTCGTCCTTCCAGACATTCAGGGACTACTACTGAGTACCGAGAAGGAAAGTATCCCCTAATGCCGGGTAAAAATTTTACACGAGCTCAGCATCGCTTCAACGTCAGGAACTGCAGGGATCAGTGACCTAGATTAGAGGCCCTGTTGTCATAGCACACAGAAAACGGCGTGCAACTGTCAGGGTCTTGGAGAGAACAGCCGCCAAACTTGCAGCACAGATCACAGAGGAACAGAAGGCTAGCCTCAAGTAAGCCAAAGATGTTGTCGATGCCGGGTAGAAGAGTCAGGAGAGAAAGACAATGAAAACCCACAGGCATCCTCTACAATTAAAAGATCAAGTTTCCCGTTTTCTATAAGCGCCTCTCAGTCCATGTTGTTGTTGTTGTAACCGCAAAATTATTCCCCAAAGCACTTTTTGGGGAATGTTGCGGGAGTGACAGTCCTTGGCCGGGTCGTTCCGATATAAAGACCCGACTGTCGCGGGAACTATTGGATTTTAGTCGCCTCTTACAACAGGCATGCCTTACCGGGGGTAAATTCTAGAGCCCCTAACCCGCAGGGGTTCCTCCCAGTCCATGCTGTATTTAGCTATAGCTTTTACTCCATCACTATTAAAGTTCACTGGAATTGCGCTGACCAAGTAGCCTCCGAAGAGAGAGTTTCCGTTAACCGGATCCCCACCCCGTGTGAGACGGGTGAAACAGCCACAACTGATAAGGCTGCGAAAATTTTCAACTTATCGAAAAACTACGACTACTCGACTTAGCAGCTGAAGCTAATTGGGGCACTGAAAGCGGCACACTCTCTGAGTCCGAAGGGAGAACAAGGGAAAACAAGGGAGGAGATGTAGGCAGTGGACCTGAACGCATCGAAGTATGGTGCAAGATTAATCTGTCAGCATCCCTCGCCCTCATATGCGCCTTGGCAAAAAAGCGGAGGCCAATATTCTCGTTCAGGAATCTTTAGTCGTGGGTGACAATATATAATTTGGCACTTTGAAGACGCTGGGAGGTTTTGCGGTATAATGTTGTACGTAATTGGCGTTTAATTCAAGAGAGTGTCGCTTATGAAAAGATGAAAATCTTCATAAAAAAACAGTGTTTGTTTCAGTGAACGCCTTTTTGTGTTTCAAAATGTAATTTCCTGAAAGCTGGTGGTTCCAATTCCGCAGGCAAAATAATTTATTTAATAATTCAGTCTTAGCATTGTTTTCCTGCGTAAATCATGGAAAAGCTACAGCCGCTGGCCAACTGCATACATAGATTATGTTAGTGTTTTGTTGTTGCATTGTAAATATTATATTATTAATACACGTCATTTGTGCACAACAACAACTCAGCGTTTTACCTGATAAATTGCATTTATTATTTCCCTTGCCTTCATTATATTATATTATAGCCATTGGCACTTTTGCTTTTCATGCACATTCACATTCACATTCACATTTTCACATTCAATACATATCTACATATCTACATGCAATTTGTAGATCTACGCATTCGAATGCCGCTTACAATTTCCTTTTTAACCGCCACAACTTTTCAGCGGGAAAATCTGAACATTTTTTCGCTTGCCTCGG